AAAAATTTAAAAATAAAAATAAAAATATAAGATCATAATGACGATCTCTATAAAATAATGTTGTTTCTTCTCATATGGAATTAATTGCAATATCTGATTTTCTTTTTGAGCAGTATTTTAAAATAACACGTATTAGGGGCAACATTTATCTTCATGGCTAAGTTACCTATCTAGGTTATCTGACCAAAACATGTTCTTAAGAGGGAATTAGAGAATTAGAGAAGAAAAATAATTAGCAAACAGTTTCCATCTTCATTAATTACTAAATGTTTTAAGAAAGAGATTTAGTTATTTTTCCTCTCATATTAGCAGAGATTTTAAAAATTATAATATTTAATTCTAGAAAGGGTGAATGTAACAAAAATGTTGGCAAATGAAATTTTTATTATTGGCCAGAAATTTCTCTGTCCAGATGTAACAAGAGATTTAAAATGGTGTGAATTCTTTAATTTAGTAACTGCCTTGGGTACTGAGGATTCCTACATATTCCTAAATATGAAAAAAGCGGCAGGGTGCGATGGCTCACCCGTGTAATCCCAGCACTTTGGGAGGCCGAGGCAGGTAGATTACGAGGTCAAACGATCAAGACCATTCTGGCTAACATGGTAAACCATCTCTACTAAAAATACAAAAAATTAGCTGGGCGTTGTGGTGCACGCCTGTAGTCCCAGCTATTCGGGAGGCTGAGGCAGGAGAGTCACTTAAACCTGGGAAGTGGAAGTTGCAGTGAGCCAAGATCCCACCACTGCACTCCAGCCTAGGTGACAAGAGAGAAACTCTGTCTCATAAAAAAAAAAAAAAAAAGCTTTACTTTAGGCTCAAAGATGTGAGTAGCAGCATTATTTATATGAGGAGAATAGGAAAAAAAAATTTAAAATATATTTTAGAGCAGGGATCCCCACCCTGGGCTGTGGGCTGGTACTACTCCATGGCCTGTTAGGAACTGGACTGCACAGCAGGAGGGGAGCAGTGGGAGAGCAAACATTATTGCCTGAGTTGTGCCTCCTGTCGGATCAGCAGTGGCATTAAATTCTCACAGGACTGCAAATTCTGTTGTGAATTGTGCGTGTGAGGGATCTAGGTTGTGCGCTCCCTATGAGAAGCTAATGCCTGATCTGAAGTGGAACAATTTCATCCCAAAATTACCCCCATCCCCCCTCCCCTCACCTCTCTAAGTCCATGGAAAAATTGACTTCCACGAAACTGAGTCCTATGCTGAAAAGGTTGAGGACCACTGTTTTAGAGGATTAGGTGAGTGAACCATGATATAGCTACTGGGATCCCCTGAAAATGTTTACAAAGCTGTCTGATAACATGGAAAAATCCTTATATTATTAACTGAAAAAAAAAAAAATAATCAGGCTGGTCATGGTGGCTCATACCTGTAATCCCAGCACTTTGAGAGGCCAAGGCAGGTGGATCATTTGAGGTCAGGAGTTTGAGACCAGCCTGGCCAACATGGTGAAACCCTGTCTCTACTCAAAATACAAAAATTAGCTGGATGTGGTGGCGGGCGCCCGTAATACTAGCTAGTCGGGAGGCTGAGGCAGGAGACTCGCTTGAACCTGGGAAGCGGAGGTTGCAGTGAGCTGAGACTGTGTCATTGCACTCCAGCCTGGCAACAGAGCAAGAGTCCATTTCAAAAAAAAAAAAAAAAGATACAATGTGTCTTTGTATTTTGGAAAACAAAGAAAAACAAAATGAATAACAAAAAGACTGCATTTGCTCTCAGTTGTTATTTTAGAATTTTGTGAGGTTTTAAAGTGATTTTATTTTTTTCTTGTTTTTTCCTTTTTTTTTTTCTTTGCAAAGATTAGGGAGAAGAGGTCTTGCTCTGTTGCCCATGCTGGTCTCGAACTCCTGGGCTTCAGCCATCTTCCCACATCCTAAATTTTAGCCTTCTAACGTTGTGGGATGACGGGTGTGAACCACAGCATCCAGCCGATTTTAATTTTTTATTTTTCTACACTTATTTTTTATATTGTCCTTAATGAGTTCTTATTACTTGCAAATAGGAAAAAATAACAAATTGTGTTAGGTAGTCATCCAAGAATAATAGTTGGTATTTTGATTCTTGCACTTGAGTGCCCAGTTAAATCAGGTGATTCCTAGTTTTCTGTGATTCTGTGATTCTGCAATTTCTTGCTAAGCAGAGGCTTGGTGAAGACACCTGGGCTTGCTCTGTGGCACTCCTGGAGAAGGAGTTTGTGGTGAGGCAGTACTTCAAAGCGCAGTCAGGCAGGTGGCCTGTGGCCTGTGGGAGTAGCATTTGACATGGCGGGGAGCATTTCACTAGAGTGGTGGAAGGAGCATGGAGGTAGTTTAACACCCCGGAAACTGATTACTGGGTTGTCATACTGGGGATGTGCCTATCTGTTTAATGAAAATGTCAAATCTCCTATGTGACATAGGAGACTGTTTGTCCCTCAACCCATATGCCTCCGATCAAATCATCTTGTGTTTCCCTAGGAGGAAAATCTCTAATAAATGTTTTTCTCCTAATGGACAATGACCTCCATCTCATTCAAACTCAAAATAGCAGTTTCATACCTCCAAATACATGATCTTATTTGATCTTGACAATTTGATCTTTGAGGTAGGAATTGTCTGCAGTTTGAGAATGAGGAAGCTGAGGAAAGGTCTTATGGAGAGGGCAGTGTGCATATCTGTGAATGGTGGCATTTAAGCTTCATTTGTTTCTCTCATATCATATAATAACGGTGAAAACAACAGTACTATCTGCCACTTACAGAACCATTCTGTGTGTCAGGCCCTGTTTCAACAGGTTTTCCCAATTGAGGTCATTTAATTCTCTCAATAATTAAGCTTGTGGAACAGGCCAGCCCTGATATTTGTGAGGAATCTTCTGGAAGGGTCTTGGAGTCCTTATCTGGGTGATCCTTTTGGACCAAGGATGGGTTTGTCTTTTTCTTGGGAAACTACCAGATTGTTAAATAACTGGAAAAAGTCAAGGAGGGAGAGAGTGCTAGTAAGTTTGCAGGTAGAATACCCGTTAGAAAGGTGTTCGCATGGGGCACTTGTCACTACACCCTTCTTGCCCTCCTGCTGGGCATGAACTGTTTCCCCTCGTAGGTATCTCCTGCACACATCTAACCAAGGAGGGTTTGTTTTGCAGTGACAGGAAGGGGCAGGGATGCAGGTTTGAAAATTTTGGTTCTACTGGTCAGGTCTTCTCCTGATAGAATACAAAGAGAAGAGTCACTTTGGGGACAGGGAGAATGAGGGGAGGATGTGGAGACCTTTGGGGGCCAGTGTGTGGTGGTGGCACATACATCTGCATGTGCACACCAATGCACGCCTGTGTGTTTTGATGGGACTGTTAGGGGATGATGCTGGAGACAGAGGAAGGCCAACATGCATATTTCTGGAGGATTCCGCCTGGTTCCATCTCTGTGTCTGGCGCCTGATGCAGCCTATAACACCGGGTGGGGCCCTCAGCCAGCGTTTGCTCTGTTCACTTGAGCTCAACTCCTGTAAAGCTTGAGGGAACTGACGGGCTCCACCGGCGATAGCGAGGCCGCTGGAGTTTCCTCCCTTTCTTCAAAGAGCCGCTGCTGCCCCCTTCTGGGGTTTATAGGTTGTTTCTGGGAAGAAATCAGTAACTTGGCCTTGTCCTACATAGCGTACAGCTTGGTGCTCCAAGCCCCACAGCTCTTTAAATTTTTTTTTTACGTTTTATTTTAGATTTGGGGATACATGTGAAGATATAATGATTTATTTTCCTTTGGAGAGACACCCAGTAGTGCGATTGCTGAGCTGAATGGTAGTTCTATTTTTAGTTCTTTGAGAAATCTCTCTACTCCCTTCCATAAAGGTTGTGCTAATTTACATGCCTATCAGGAGTGTGTAAGCGTTCCCTGTTCCCCACATCCTTGCCAGAATCTGTTTTTTGCCTTGATAATAGCTATTCTGACTGATGTGAGATGATATCTCATCATGGTTTAATTTGTATTTCTCCATCGATTAGGGATATTGAACATCTTTTCATACGCTTGTTGGCCACTTGTCTGTCTTGTTTTGAAAACTATTCATGTCCTTTGCCCACTTTTTAATGGGATGATTTATGGTTTTGTTGCTGTTGTTGAGTTGTTTGAATTCCTTGTAAATTTCAAAACAGACCCAGTAGCTTGTACTCTGAGAAAAGCACCTTTTCTGAAGGCAATACATATCTTGGAGGATTTACAGAGGGATTTGGCTTTAATAGGGCTGGAACTGAAAGTTGGATTATTCTGTTCAGATAGTTACAGTGGAAAGGCGGCTATGTTGGGAGTGAGAAGTCGAATCTTGACCAGCCATAAACCTTGGATGTTGGCTTTCTGGGCCTCATTTTCCTTTTTTGTAAAAGTAGGAGGGCAGACTGGATCAGTTGTTTTCTAGAGGGGGTGACGGACTTCAACAGAGGATGGGGTCTTATACTTTCCCTTTTCCATAGCCTATGCCCCATTTCAGAGCAGCTCCACTTTGGTTTTTCATTTGTTTTGTTTTGAGATGGAGTTTCACCCTGTTGCCCAGGCTGGAGTGCAATGGCGCAATCTTGGCTCACTGCAAACTCTGCCTCCTGGGTTCGAGGGATTCTTCTGCCTCAGCTTCCCGAGTAGCTGGGATTACAGGCATGCGCCATCACGCCTGGCTTGTATTTTTAGTAGAGATGGGATTTCTCCATGTTGGTCAGGCTGGTCTCGAACTCCTGACCTCAGGTGATCTGCCTGCCTTAGCCTCCCAGAGTGCTGTGATTACGGGCGTGAGCCACCGTGCCTGGCCAGCAGCTCCACTTGGAGCGGTTTTATTTATTGGGTGTCAAATAAGATATTGCAGGAAAACATGTCCTTAAAAGTCTGAAAGCTGCTGGACTAGATGATTTCTGAGATGCTTTCTACCCCTGATGGTGTGATTTTATAAATTTAATATTGAGTCAGAGACTTGGAAGCTGAAATCATAGTGCCCAAAATTTCTCGGTAAGAGCCATGGATGTTTTGCAGGCGGACAGTCCAGAAGACATGCACAGCTGGATTAAGGAGATCGGGGCAGCTGTCCAGGCCCTCAAGTGCCACCCCAGGGTAAGTCACTTCCTTTCTGTTGCACAGTGTCAACTCAGAGATGAATTCCCCTCGAGTGGGCATGTTTTATTTGGTGATATAGGCAAACAGCCCAGTCCTGAGATGCAGCTGAAGCCCCAGGCTGTCTTGCTTTTCTCGTTCTACTAATTTGGGTACATATTTTTATTTTTCTCTTTTTGGTTGTGGGAGGAGGTGAGGTACGGTTGAATAGAGAAATGGAATTAATTTCTTTCTTTCTTTCTTTCTCTTTCTTTCTCTCTTTTTCTTTTTCTTTCTTCTCTTTCCTCTTTTCCTCCTTCCTTCCTTTTACTTTCTTTTCTTTCTTTTCTCTCTTTCCTTTCTTTCTCTCTTTCTTCTTTCTCAATACGGATTCTCGCTCTGTCACCCAGGCTGCAGTGCAGTGGCACGATCTCAGCTCACTGTAACCTCCGCCTCCCAGGTTCAAGTGATTCTCCTGCCTCAGCCTCCTGAGTAGCTGGGGTTACAGGCACTCACCACCATGCCTGGCTAATTTGTGTATTTTTAGTAGAGATGGGGTTTTACCATGTTGGCCAGGCTGATCTTGAACTCCTGACCTCAGGTGATCCACCCACCTCAGCCTCCCAAAGTGCTGGGATTTCAGGCATAAGCTACCACACCTGGCTGAGAAATGGAATTTCTGATATGTCCTGCAAATCTCACTGCCACCATCTGGAGTGAATCCCGTTGAATGTATTTCATTTTTGTGGGCAAGCATCCCTGGACCTGTGAAGCAGTGATCCTGGTGGAGTACTCTTCCTGGGACTTTGGGATAAACACTGTTTGAAAAGGTCTAAATTTCCTTTGTTTTTTATTTCCTTTTATTATTGTAGGAAATGTCCTTTTCTAGATCCATTTCTTTGACCCGACCTGGAAGCTCCAGCCTTTCAAGTGGCCCCAACTCTATCCTGTGCAGGGGGCGGCCACCTGTGGAGGAGAAGAAAGTCCTCTGCAAAGCCCCCTCTGTGGCCTCCTCCTGGCAGCCCTGGACACCTGTCCCCCAGGCTGGGGAGAAGCTACTTCCAGCCGAAGAGACTTCAGAGGACTCTTTGTTCATGCCTCGTCCTGGGGACGGCAGTGCTGCTGGGGTGCTGCCCAGCTCCCGGCTAAGGCACAGATCAGAGCCCCAGCACCCCAAGGAAAAGCCATTTCTGTTCAACCTTGATGATGAAAACATACGGACCTCTGATGTGTGATGGAGCACAGTGTTGTGGGAGGGAGGGAGGGAGGACTTGAGAGAAGGAGGCTGTGACTCAGTTTCTCTACCTTGTTGGAGGGTAGTCAGAGGCCTTTATGTGATTCATATTCCTGTGGATGCTCTTTGGGAGGGAGAGGCCCATCCAGCTGGGTGTGTGTGTGTGTGTGTGTGTGTGTGTGTGTGTGTTTAATATCAATGCAGTGTATTTAATTTGAGGAAGTCATTATGTTAGACCTGCAGGCATACTCAGTGAAGAGCAGGCTACTTATTCTAATTATTCTGAGGCCTTCCTGGGGAGGGGTTATTTTAGCAGCTCCTCTCCAGAGAGGGCTGGAAGTCCAGTTTCACCATTGACCAAGTTTTATTTCCTTGTCCTTATTTTAGTTTCTTCATTTTGTTTCCAGTCCAGGTGCTTCGCAGCTCTTTTGGAATGGGCCAGCATTAGTCTAATTTTAAATGCTGTGTGTTTTGTACCCTCGCAGACTTGCTTTCTCTTACTTCTTGCTGTTGTCCTTGGAATGAAGCCTTGTGTTCTTGCATGATCAGACCCTGTAATATAGGCTGAGTTTCCACGCACTTAACATGAATAGATACAAAGAGAATCTAGAGAGAGAGATTTTTAAAGAAACTTGGCATAGAAACATTGATTTAGAGGTTATGAGTTGCTTGCCAGAGATTCCTCCAATAGAAGAGCATAGAAAATTGAGTGTTGACCGGGCATGGTGGCTCACTCCTGTAATACCAGCACTTTGGGAGGCTGAGGAAGGTGGATTACCTGAGGTCAGGAGTTCGAGACCAGCCTGGCCAACATGGTGAAACCCCCGTCTCTACTAAAAAAAAAAATGCAAAATTAGCCAGGCACAGTGGTGCATGCCTGTAATCCTAGCTACTCAGGAGGCTGAGGCAGGAGATACACTTGAACCCAGGACGTGGAGGTTGCAGTGAGCTGAGGTCCAACTCCAGCCTGGGCAACAAGAGCAAAACTCCATCTCAAAAAATAAAAGAAAATTCAATGTCCCACCCAAATTTTAGGGCATAAGTCCTTCCATTTGACAAGATACTATTTCCAGTGTCCCTGGGAGAATTCTTCCATCCAGTTTATATGGTGAATTGCTGCCAGCATTTCCTAAAGGAAGAGAGAATTTATCTTATTTCTCTCTGTAACTTTCATCAGCTAGATCAATTAATTGTATTTTTAAATTAAAAATTAGTTTAAGGAAACCATTTTTATCTGAATAAATTGCTCTCCTTGTGTCCAAATCTAATGCCAAGGTGAAAACACTCGGGGAGAACATCCATAGTGGATTGAGGGGAATCATGTTTCTTTCAGGCTTTGCAATTTCCCTGAAGTCTGTGTCACACTGAGAACTTTTTCTGACTACTTTTATACCAGGACAACTAGGCTAAACTCAATTTAAATGAATAGCTTTAACTAGGCTACAGAGTTTAGCTAGTTGTTCTGGTATAAAGCAGGAAATCTACATCGTTCCTTCCTTCTCTCCCTTCCATCCCTTCCCGTGCCTTTCTGTACATGGTGTTGTGCTTTTGCCCTCCGAAATTCTTGGTTTGGGAGTTACGTATTTATGAGTGATTGAGGTTACAGCATACTTGGAGTAGCATGATTTCAAGAAGCCATTCCAAATTCTTATAGCTCCTTAGCTCTGGTTTTACCCTCACATTTTCCCCAAGGAAATTCTTTAGCTAGTCAAAGAAAGCACGAAATATGTGATGTGGAACTAATGAAAATAGGAACTTTTGAGATCTCTTTAAATATTCCCTGACTCACGGAAAAAAATGTTCTCTTTTGATGTTTACATTGTTAAAATCTATCCATTTATCTCTCTAAGTAAATTATCTGATAGATTACTATTGCTAAAGTAATTGGCCATTATAATATGGAGAATGTGTTAAACATACTTAGGATCCATATGGTATTATCTTGATAAAGGGAAATGAGGACGCTAATTGGCAAACACTTGGGAATTCCAAGTTGGAGCATTGCTTGTTTATATATATATATATATATATATATNTAATTTTTAAGAGACAGGGTCTCACTCTGTCACCCAGGCTAGAGTGCAGTCGTGTGATTACAGTTCATCATATCTTTGAAATCCTGGGCTTAAGCAATCCTCCCATATTAGCTTCCCAAGTAGCTGCGACTACAGGGTTGTGCTACCATGCCTGGCTAATTTTTAATTATTATTATTTTTTATGTACAGGGCCTAGCTATGTTGCCCAGGCTGATCTCAAAACTCCTGGGCTCAAGTGATCCTCCTGCCTTGGCCTCCTAAAGTACAGGGATTACAGGTGTGAGCTACTGTGCCCAGCCAGAACATTGTTAATGTAGTTCAATATCAGATAAATTATTATTATCAATGAAACAAACTCTAAAGGCATTCTCATTCTGAAACGGTATTTCAAACTTCCTATTTTGTCAGTATTTCTTACCTTCTGGCCAATTTTAAACCATAATCTTTTAATGTGAACCAAAGATGGTACGTATTTGACCAGTGTAGTTAGTTTTAAATGTATACAATTGAACCAAATGGAAAAAATAGGGTGGAGACAAGAGTGTAGGTTAGTGACTAAGTGTATAGGCTCTGGAATAAATCTGAGTTTTTTTTTTTAAAGAGCTAAAAAATGTGCTGCATTTTCTTTGTGGAATAAAAACCTCACCTGAGCTGTGCTCTTTTCATAAGGCTTTTGAAGTGGTCTTGACCCACTGTGTATAACAGTATTCCAGGTGGTCTTCCTTATGGCTGAATAATGCCATCCATTAATCTTTAATTTTTATTTTTAGAAACAGTGTTTCACTCTGTCACCAGGCTGGAGTGCAGTAGCCTGATCATGGCTCACTGCAGTCTGGACCTCCTGGGCTCAAGTGATTCCTTCCTCATAGCCTCCCAAAGTACTCAAATTATAGGTGTGAGCCACCACACCTGTTTTTTTTTTTTATAGGTGTGAGCCATCATTCATTATTTTTGAAAGCTTCTATTGACTTGCATATTCAGGGTCAGCTGATGGTTTGCAAAAATAATTTGGCCCTCAGTGTTAAGTGAGACGTCATTAGAGTATTGAGGTGTACCTTATAGAGATTGACCTCAGGTCAGAATATTGGAGTCATACATCTATTTCTGAGTCGAATTCTCAGCTCCCAAGAGAAAGAAAGTAGTTTTAAGGTCCAGCTTTTTAGTTTATTTGAAGCGAAAGTTTTTTTCTTTTCCATTTCCGAATATAAATATACTCATATAAGCTAAAAGGACCCCATGAATAAATAGCAGCTTTAGTAGTTGAGGAGTGGAATTTAGTAGGTTTGTTTTCCGTATAAATCAGATGACGTATGTGGAGGTCACAGCATTTTGGAAATTGAGTGTCCCAAGTGAACTTTGTTTATAAACTTCCGACAAGTTGGAAGCGGACAGGTTTGTTAAATCTTGTCTGCCAGCACCCGTTTCTTCCTTTGTTCCTTTTCCTCTCCGTGTTATTGCCTGCGACAGCCAGTCCTTCATGCTAGAGTTCAGATAAAGCACATGTTTGGCAAAAACATACTGTTTGACCTCCTCCCCCTCTGCTTATGAAGGGGTAGCATGATTCTGTGTTTTAAAGCAGTGATGTTTCAGCTGTGAAATGCACTAGCTGTAAGCACTAGGCTGGGTGCATGGAAACTGTTACGCTTCTCATTTTATGTGATCTCCTAATTGGTATGTAGCAAAAATTTTCTAAAACTGTTTTGTGGCTTGTTTTGTAATAAAACCATGGGAAATACTGAAATATGGTCGTGTGTTTTTCTAATACGGACCTTCTGACCTCTGGGTGGGTGAGCTTTCTTATCAGTCGGCCCCCATGGTCGGTTTTAGGGATTTCACAAAGTAGGTTCCCACTCCGGGTAGTGCTGGAGACCTTCCCCTCACTGCCTGGGGGAGGACCTGGCTCCGGGTAGGGACGGGGGCGGGTGGTGGGGGATGTACGGGTGTGTATATGGAGAGGTGTGCCAGGCTCTGCGCCTTAAAGTTTGGGGGCCAGCGGAGGCGGCGCCGTGGCCGGGAGAAAGTGTCGCTCATTTAGGAGCGTTTGCAGGTCCAGATGAAGTCACTGAAGAGTGGAAACGAGGAAGGAAGGAGGATGATTAGACCTCAGCTGCGGCCTGCTGGGCTGGAACGATGCCTCCTGCCGGGGCTGCTGCTGCTCCTGGTGCCCGTCCCCTGGGCCGGGGCTAAGAGGCTACAAGCCCAGCTGGCCTGCCCCGCGGTCTGCCAGCCTACGCGCTGCCCCGCTGCGCGCTGGGGACCACGCCGGTGTTCGACCTGTGCCGCTGCTGCCGCGTCTGCCCCGCCGCCGAGGGTGAAGTCTGCGGCGGGGCGCGGGGCCGGCCGTGTGCCCCGGGGCTGCAGTGCCTCCAGTCGCTGGACCCCTGGCTGCCCAGCACCTGCGGCTGCCCGACGCTAGGGGCGGCCGTGTGCGGCAGCGACAGACGCACCTACCCCAGCCTGTGCGCGCTCCGGGCGAACAACCGCGCCGCGCGCCGCTGGGGCGAGTTCCTGGCGGTGCCCGTGCAGTGGGGGGACTGCAGGGATACAGGTGAGCCGCGGGGTGCGCGCGCCCTCGGGACGCTTTCTAACTCTGGAGGAGCGTATAGACACAAGACCTCACTGCGACCGCACAGTTCGCGCAGGGTCCTCCTGAGTCATTTGCCTTCTGGATTCGACACTTCACTGTTCCCGATTTCCTTTCTTACTTAACAGGGGCTCTTGACCGGCTGCTGGCTGGTTTCTCCCCATGCACGTTTTGAACACTGGCCTTTAACATTTTCCCAACCAGCATAGCAGGTCTGGTTCCCTTGAGGCGTACCCTTGAGCCGGTATTTTTTTTTATAGGGACCAGGAGCGCAGGCCCGCTCAGGAGCAATTACAACTTCATCGCCCCGGTGGTGGAGACGGTGGCGCCATCGGTGGTTCACTTGCAGCTGTGGCGCAGGTAAAGGGGGGAGGAGGAAGACCTCCACTGGCCCAGCTAGTGGTTCCTGCTTGCCTACCTGCGCCAGGCCCTTCGCAAGCGTCATTGAATCCCAAAAAACCGCTGTGAGGAAACTGAGACGCAAAAAGGTTGAATAACCTGTTCGAGGTCATTTAACTAACGAGCAGAGGCACACGGATGCTGACTTCCAAACCCGAGCTCCCCCTGTCCTCTTAGGTGTCTGGGGCTTTTCCCACTCCTCGCACAGACAAAATTGAAGGTCAAATATAAGAGCTAGTAGGCATTTTCTTTCCTTTTTTTTTTGAGACAAGGTCTTGCTATGTCTCCAAGGCTGAATTGCAGTTACAGATCACGGCTCACTGCAGCTCCATCTACCAGGCTCAAGTAATCTTCCCACCTCAGCCTCTGGGGTGCCTGGGACTGCAGGCATTGCCACCACACCCAGCTAATATTTGTATTTTTTGTACAGATAGGGTCTTGTTAAGTTTCCCAGGCTGGTCTCGAATTCCTGGGCCCAAATGATCTGCCACCTTCGCCTCCCAAGGTGCTGGGATTACAGGTGTGAGCCACCGCACCCAGCTTAGCAGGCATTTTTGGTCGTGATCTTGCTCAGCTCCCACTTTGCATGCAAGGAAAACCAGACCCAGAGTGCACGGTTAATTAGCCCTACTTCATGAGGCCAGTTGCCGGTGGAAACTAAGCCAGAATCAGAGCCCGTTGATTCTTTCCTGTCAGGGTCCTTGATACTGTGGTAGAAGTCTCACTTTTGCCTCTAGTATTAGCATTAGGTTCAGCCTTTTTGTAGCAGAGAACCCACGGGTTGCTACACTAACCAGCTCTGAAGAAGCAGTGTCCCTGGAAAAGGAGAGCTAGAGCCAGCTCTCAACCATGCTCACAAGAGATGGCCGGGTCCATGTACATGCATAATTAATACATAGAGAAAATTTACGCATAGCCAGGGAAAAGTGAAATGTCTGAGAAAACTGTGATGGAAGGCCAGGCATGGTGGCTCACTCCTGTAATCCCAGCACTTTGGGAGGTGGAGGTGGGTCAATCACCTGACGTCAGGAGTTTGAGACCAGCCTGGCCAACATGGCAAAACCCTGTCTCTGCTAAAAATACAAAAATTTCTTCTGATTGTGGTTTTGAAAAAAAGAAAATACAAAAATTAGCCGGATGTGGTGGTGCATGCCTGCAATCCCAGCTACTTGGAAGGCTGAGGCAGGAGAATTGCTTGAATCTGGGAGACAGAGGTTGCAGTGATCCGAGATCTTGCCACTGCTCTCCAGCATGGGCAACAGAGTGAGATTCTGTCTAAAAAACAAAACAAAATAAAACTCTGATGGAGGTATGTTTAATAAGAGTGAAGTTCTCCTGACTCTCAGATTATATGGCTGTATTCCCTACCTTTCTTGCCCTCTGTTGACACTGTTGTCTTGTGGAGACAGGTTACTTCCCGGCAGCAAGCCAGTTCCTGTGTACAGTGGCTCTGGGTTCATAGTGTCTGAGGACGGGCTCATTATTACCAGTGCCCATGTTGTCATGAACCAGCAGGGGATTGAGGTGGAGCTTCAGAGTGGGGCCCACTATGAAGCCATTATCAAGGATATTGACCTTAAATTGGATCTTGCGGTGATTAAGATTGAACCGAATGTGAGTATTTCAGGGCTGAGTCAGAGTCTGCATATTTGGGGATTTTCATCTATTTGCTGATACCTTCTGCTCCACTACACTCTCACACCACATCTCTTCTGTCAAGTATATGCTTTTCTCTGGTTTCTTTCTGTTCTTGACTCCCTCTTTGATTTGCTTCCATGCCTGTCTGTGTATCCCTATTTCTCCCTTTCCTTCTTTTTTTCTTTCTTTCTCTCCCTCCCTTCCTTCTTTCCTTTTCTTCCTTTCTCTTTCTCTCTCTCTTTTCCTTCCTTCCTTCTTTCCTTCCTTCCTCCCTTTCCTCCTTCCTTCCTCCCTTCTTTTTTTTTGGTGAGACAATCTCCCTCTATCACCCAGGCTGGAGTGCAGTGGCTCAATCTCAGCTCACTGCAACATATACCTCCTGGGCTCAAGTAATTCTTCTGCCTCAGCCTCCTGAATAGCTGGGATTACAGGTGCCCACGACCACACCTGGCTAATTTTTGTGCTTTTAATAAAGACAGGGTTTTATCACGTTGGCCAGGCTGGTCTTGAACTCCTGACCTCAGGTGATCCACCCACCTCAGCCTCCCAAAGTGCTGGGATTACAGAGGTGAGCCACTGCGCCTGGCCCCCTGTTTCTATGAACTATCAAACAGTCTTTTTTTTTTTTTTTTTCCCCCTCCTTCAACTCCTTCTTCAACAGATGCTGCTTCCGGGAAAATTCTCTCTCTACTTGTCTTAGGATATCAGAAATTACTGCAATGGACTCAAAGCTGCTAAGGAATACTTTAAAGTCCTTGCTACACATAGTACTGGTGGTCTGCACACCAGATATATCCACATGGTGTCTGAGAGCTTTTTAGAAATTCAGAATCTCAACCTTCAGCCAGATAGATGCGCTGACTCAGAACCTGCATTTACATAACATCCCTAGGTGATTTGCATGCACATTACCGTTGCCCTGGGTGATCTCCTTTCTGTTTGTGGCTTATTCACTTTGACTGTTAACATTTGAGCTGGAATGATGCTGAATAAATTGCTAATGTCAGTTTATGTTCATCAGTGACTTCACTGGCTGTCTACTAATAGTAATTTCTACAAAGTAATTATTTTCGATCTTAGAAATGATCCTAGTTATCTTAACAATTGAGAGCTTCGCAGTAGTCGGACTTTGAGGAAGAAGTAGAAGGCAGTCATAGAAACTGTGTGAGTGAGTGCTTCTCAGGTGGTAAGGGCCAAGGTGATAGAGGCAGCATCATATATGTGTTAGACATACACATTGGTCAATTCTGATCTTGATTTCTTTATACTTTCTGTCCTCCTCATCCCTCTTTGGCCACATGCAGGCTGACCTTCCTGTACTGTTGCTGGGCAGATCATCTGACCTTCGCGCTGGAGAGTTTGTAGTAGCTTTGGGCTGCCCTTTTTCTCTGCAGAAGACAGCTACTGCAGGAATTGTCAGCACCACCCAGCGAGGAGGCAAAGAACTGGGGATAGAGAATTCAGATATGGACTACATCCAGACTGATGCCATAGTTAATGTAAGTCACTTAGGACAGAGGTGCTCAACCGTTGGGCACGGGACCGGTACAAGTCCATGGCCTGTTAGGAACTGGGCCACGCAGCAGGAGGTGAGCCACAGGCGAATGAGCATTACCACCTGAGCTCCGCCTCCTGTCACATCAGCAGTGGCATTAGATTCTCACAGAACAAACTCTATTGTGAACTGCGCATGTGAGGGATCTAGGTTTCTTGTTTTTTAAGAGAATCTAACTCATGCCTGATGATCTGAAGTGGAGCAGTTTCATCCCAAACTGCCTCTCCATCCATGGAAAAATTGTCTTCCACAAAGGTGGTCCCTGTGCCAAAAAGTTTGAGGATCGCTGACTTAGGAGGCCTATCCTCAGATCATACAAGATTGGCAGTTCAGTGAGAAGAAAATATCAGAGTGACCCCTTTGGTCTTTTGGGGATGTCCAGGTTTGGTTAAATCACTGTGGGAGGAATGGAATGCCACTTTGTTAGAGTCCGGCCTGTCTGATGTGATCACTGGCATCCGTGCTATTGGGTGGTCTGTTGTGGAGGTCACGCTTCCTGTAAGAAGGTGGGGGTTCCTTGATGGGGCAGGGTGGCTTACGGCTGTAATCCCAACATTTTGGGAGGCCGAGGCGGGCAGATCATGAAGTCAGCAGTTCAAGACCAGCCTGGTCAACATGGTGAAATTCCATCTACACTAAAAATACAAAAAAATTAGCCAGGCGTGGTGGCACACACCTGTAATCCCGGCTACTGAGGAGGCTGAGGCAGGAGAATTGCTTGAATCTGGGAGGCGGAGGTTGCAGTGAGCTGAGATTGCGCCATTGCACTTTAGCCTGGGTGACAGGGTGAGACTCCATCTCAAAAAAAAAAAAAAAGAGAGAGAAGGTGGTGTCCCACTGCTATTGTTCTTTACCTGCACTGACTTCAGTACTGGTGATGATAGGGGCACAATTTTGCCAGCCTGGGGGCGAAAGGAGCTTACTATAGTGGGCTGCTTTTGGTAAATTGGTAAAGAACAAGGGGAAATGTATTCATTGGCTTCACTGATGTCTTTTTCACATTTTGCTTTTAGCAAGGGAATTCTGGTGGTCCTCTGGTGAACTTGGTAAGTGGCCACTTTCCTTGTTGCTTCATGTTTCTTCCTAACTTTCAAAGACTTTATTAATTCCAGGCCAGGGATGGTGACTCACCCCTTTAATCCCAGCACATTTGGGAGGATTGCTTGGGGTCAGGAGTTCGAGACTAGCCTGGGCAACATAGCAAGACACCGTATCTACAAAAACAGAAAAAAATGTCTTTACATATTCCATGATGCAGACTCGAGTGCTACTCTTGTGTAGAGAGCTGTGGAATGGTGCTTTTCTGTTTTTGGACCTTAAGTCAATGGTTAGAAAAAAATTCAAGATTGTTATCCTGGTGTGTGATCTCATCCCACTGAGAACACTAGGGTTCTAGCTCCAGCTTCCTTTGAACTTTTTCTCTTCCTCATGCTTTCTGGTTTCATTGGCTAGTTACCAAAAGCCCTGGAATTTATTTATTTATTTATTTAACAGAGATGAGGTCTCACTATATTGCCCAGGCTGGTCTCTAACCCCTGAGCTCAAGTGATCTCCTCCCGCCTCAGCCTCCCAAAGTGCTAGGATTACAGGTGTAAGCCACCACCCTGTGCCAAAAGCCCTGGATATTAAACCCAGACTTATGCCAAATGACCGGCTGTGCTATGAAATGTAGCTCCTTGAAGGTCCCCTGATGCTGCATATGAAGAACTGTCTCTCATTTAAAAATGTTGATTACGTAATGTCCAAGTTTTTAGTCTTGACCTCTTGCCCTGCTTACAGGTGACAGAAAAGCCACAACCAGCACTCCTGACTGCAAGGGAGCTGCCTGCCTCAGCCTCCCAAATACATTGCTCTGTCATATTCTGTGTCTCTAGTGGAAATACCAGGGTTTCCAGTTGCTCAAATACATGTGAAAACCTAAGAGAGTGCAATGCTGTCTGACATACAGCTTGTGATCATCTTTTCTGAGTCCCTTTGCACTGATTGCTTTTGGTTCCTGTTTAAATATTACATTTGCTTTTAGAATGAATAGTATGCAAAATGATTTTTTTTTTATTCATAGCATTTCATGTAATTTTTATTTGTTTTGTTTCTGCCTTTTCCATTAGACAATGAGTTTACTAGAGCATCGATGAAATGCAGAATTTCAGGCCACACCCCAGACCTACTGAATTACAATCTGTAGTTTAATACAACCAGAAATCTCTTTTCTGGCCAGGTGCGGTGGCCCACTCCTGTAATCCCACCACTTGGAGAGGCTGAGGAGAGTGGATCATCTGAAAGGAGTTCAAAACCAGCCTGGCCAACATGGTGAAACCTGTTTCTACTAAAAATACAGAAAAAAAAAAAAAAAAGAAAAAAGGAAAAAAAAATAGCTGGGTGTGGTGGCACAAGCCTGTAATCCCAGCTACTTGGGAGGCTGAGGCAGGAGAATCGCTTGAACCTGGGAGGCAGAGGTTACAATGAGCCGAGATTGCACTAACGCACTCCAGCCTGGGCAACACAGCAAGACTCCATCTCAAAATAAATAAATAAATAAATAAATAAATAAATAAATAAATAAGAAATCTCTTTTCTATCCTTTCCCATTACCTAACAAAGGCTGAAGGAAGATGAGGTACATAAAGAGGAAAATATTTTCTGCCTCATACCTTTAGCTTAGCAGAGCTTTGTTCCCTAAGGTCAATTTCGTCAATTTTTCTGAATAGTTTCAATGCAGTGTTGCTGACAATCCCACAGCTTTTTACCTTTTCCATGTTTATTTTTAGTTTCAGTTAAATAATTAAAAAGGCAAATACTCCTTGTCCTTCTACCTGTGTCAAAATACAAACTGTGGCTCACTTTCAAAGTCAATGTAACTTACCAAAGAAAAAAATAAGCTCAAGATTTAAAAAAATCCTCAGCATCCTTTATCCTTTGGCGGTGAAAAGAAGGTAACTTCCGTGCATGTGCAGTCACCGTTTGCTGTTCCATCACACTATTTGCCTTAAAAAGGAACATCCGTTGCTCTCTTTTGAAGATGTGCAAAGTTCGTCTCGGCCCTGTTTTCTGACCCTAAGTAACTAGCTTTACTCCTTCCTCTGCTGGTTCTGGTCTTGCACTCTTCAGTTTGCAAAACTTCATGACTGAATGATGTCCCCTCCCTTGCCAGGATGGTGATGTGATTGGCGTCAATACATTGAGGATGACTGATGGAATCTCCTTTGCAGTTCCTTCAGATCGAGTTAGGGAGTTCTTGGCAGAATACCATGAGCGCCAGTTGAAAGGTAAAGCAAATTGGGTTTTTTGCGGGACTCTCCTCTTGTGCTTTTCAGAAACACTCAATCGTTTGTGGTGACAGCCATTTTTTTTTTTTTTTTTTTTTTTTTTTTTTTTTTTTTTTTTTTTTTTTTTTTTTTTTTTTTTTTTTTTTTTTTTTCAGGTATTTTAGTACAGACTGAACATCACTAATGAAAAAAAATCTGAACTCTAAAATGCACCAAAAGGTGAAAACATTTTTTTTTTTTTTCTGAGACAGACTCTTGCTCTTGTCACCTCGGTTGGAGTGCAGTGGCATGATCTTGGTTTACTGCAACCTCTGCCTTCTGGGTTCAAGCAGTTCTCTTGCCTCAGCCTCCTGAGTAGCTGGGACTACAGGCACCCACCACCACGCCCAGCTAATTTTTATATTTTTAGTACAGATGGGGTTTCACTATGTTGGCCAGGCTAGTCTTGAACTCCTGACCTCTAGTGATCCACCTGCCTTGGACTCCCAAAGTGCTGGGATTACAGGTGTGAGCCACCTCGCCCAGCCCGGAGACAGCCATCTGAATCCTGTAGACGACTGGGTCACTCATTTGTACTCAGCTTCTATAATGGTGATTCGGGCAGCAATATGGCGGGACTAGGCAAAAGCCAAGCATGAGTTGTGCCCAGAAATATTTGGACTGAGCTAATGTGGAAATGAAACCCAGGGTTGGAGGCAGAGAGCTGGGTGGGGGGAGTGTAAGTGCTCATGACAGAGGTTCCCTGAAGCCGATGTTTCATGCAGTAACCTGAAAGGACAGCTATGATGGCAAAGAGATCCTGGAACGTGGGTGTCTTTTAAACTGTGCTAATAGGAAAGAGGTTTTGTTATAACACATAACTTTCCTTTCCTTTCCACAGAAAACGCTTTCTGTGAAAAGCGTTTTCACAGAAGAAATATCTGGGTCTGCAAATGCTGCCCCTCACTATGCCATAAGCCTGTGTTTGAATATGTCTGGGTTGTTTTTCAGAGGCAAAAACTGTAGCTGCACAGGCTTAGCAGAAAAGCTGAGCCACGTGGGCCACACTCTTGTGACCCTAGGCCCTATCTGTCTCAGGGTTATGTATCTGCCTCTGCCTGTGTCAGCACTGGCTATACATAGTTTATTTCACTGTAGCTTCTATTTTATAATGTCTAGTGGTTCTAGGCTTTGGTATAAAGGCTCAGCCTGCACCCCCAGGCTGATTAGAATGATTGTGATTAGCTCGATGGAGTCTTCCTAGACCCCTGTGAACCTTGAGCAGAACAGACTCCTACTGAGAGTTCCAGGCTTTTACCAGGGCTAATTCAGTGTGTTTCCTAATCTTCTCACTTCCCTTAGCCTTATTCAAGAAATGAAAATGCGTGATCCAGCTTTCCCCAATGTGAGTTCTGGGGTTTATGTATGTAAAGTGATCGAAGGGACGTCTGCTGAAAGGTAAGAGAAGGGCAGGCCTTTGTCGTCTACCTTTGCTTTTTCTAGATGTGTGCCGCCGTAAAACCCATGGGGGGTATATAGACTTGGTCTGACCAATACAGTGGCCACTACCCACATGTAGTATGTACTGAACACATAAGTGTGGCCGCTGTGACTGAGGAACTGAATTTTGAATTAAATTAAATTAATTTAAATTAAAAAACCCAGGCCAGGCACAGTGGCTCACACCTGTAATCTCAGCACTTTGATAGGCCAAGGTGGGTGGATCATCTGAGATCAGGAGTTTGAGACCAGCCTGGCCAACCTAGTGAAATCTCATCTCTACTAAAAATACAAAAGTTAATGGGGGTGCCCAAACGCAAAATATTTTTCCATGAAATGTTCTGGAAGAACTGCATTTCACTTTAATTACTGCATTGTATACAATGTTATCAGCTGGGAGCAATGGCTCACGCCTGTAATCCCAGGACTTCTGGAGGCCAAGGTGGGTGGAACATTTGAAGTCAGGAGTTCAAGACCAGCCTGACCAACATAGTGAAACCCCATCTCTACTAAAAATACAAAAAATTAGCTTGGCGTGGTGGTGCATGCCTGTAGTCCCAGCTATTTGGGAGGCTGAGGCAGAATTTCTTGAAACTGGAGGCAGAGGTTGCCGTGAACTGAGAACGCACCACAGCACTCCAGCCTAGGCAACAGAGCAAGACTCTGTCTCAAAAAAAAAAAAAGATATTATCATTGTATAATAGCATATTGGGGGTGTGTGTTGTTTCAAGTGGATTTCAAAGACAGGAAACAGTGTAAAATACCTATTAACAATTTTTAAAACACCATGTTACAATGATAATATTTTGGATATGTAATGTTAAATAAGATATATTATTAAAATTAATTTCATCTGTTTAAAATTTTTAAAAAATGTGGCTACAAGGAAAATTTAAAATTACATATGTGGCTTGCATTATTGTCTATAGGACAGTGCTGATGTAGACTTGGGTAATTATAAAGGCCTTTTTTGTATTTTGGGAGGGAGGTGGTTCTCTATAGTCTAAGAAGAGCTCATTGAAACTTAATAGCATAAGTTTCAATAAATTTGGCTAGGAATTCCCAACCCACTCTTTCAGTATGAATAGTCATTACTTAATAACTATTAAGTGTTTAGTGCCTATTAGGTATTAGTAACTATTAACTATTCATTAACAGGTATTTTTTTGTTTTTTTGAGACAGAGTCTCACTCTTGTCCCTCAGGCTGGAGTGCAATTGTGTGATCTCGGCTCACTGCAACCTCTGCCTCCTAGGTTCAAGTGATTCTCCTGCCTCAGTTTCCCAAGTATTTGGGATTACACACCCAGCTAATTATTGTAATTTTATTAGAGGCGAGGTTTCACTGTGTTGGCCAGGCTAATCTTGAACTCCTAACCTCAGGTGATCCTCCCAAAGTGCTGGGATTACAGGAGTGAGCCACAGCTCCAGGCCTATTTGAAGTGTTTTATACACCTGTTTGTACTATCAACAGTTTTATGATATAGGTATTATTTTACAGAGGAAGCAGCTGTGGTACTGAGAGGTTAATTAACTTGTAGAACACGGTAAATTAGAAAGCAGAGAGCAGGGATGTGGGCCCTGGCTTAACCCTTCTATTATCCTGCTTTTGTGGCTGCTTTTTTGTTTCTGAGAGGCAGAGTGACTTAGTGACAAGAAGATAGGTTCTCAAGTCTGATGAAATCCCGCTTTAGCCTCTCACGATTTGCGTAACGTTTTTTGTGTGGGATTTCATCAGACTTCATTTGTCCTGTCTGAGCCATAGCTCCTCATATTTGGTGCATAGTAGGTTAATAGTAGTAATTTGTGGGTTTTTCTCTTTTCTGACTCATAGAACTAGTATGAACTAAGTAAGTTCTCTATAAGTTCTTTCTTTGTACTTACTGGTCCCAAGCCGTCCTCCTAAACTGTCCTTTTCTAAGGTATTTCTTGCTTTTAGTTCTATACTTAAGCTTCTGTTCACATCCTCTTGCTTTAAACTTCCTTTTTTTAAACTCCACCTATCTTGATGATCAAACCACATTACCATTCTTCCTTGAGCTTCCCATTTCTGTTAAATGCTGTCTCCTGGAGTCATTTGCTCTTCCTTTTTCAGTCTATTTTCACCTTTAAGACAAATCACTGGCATGGCTATCTCTGTATTGCAGTTTTTATTTGGAGCTGGTTTTTGCTTCTAGAATATACAGTCTATGTGAAACAATTATGTTGAAGATAATAAAGTCACAACTTTGGGGAAAAGGAGCCTAGAGCCGGAGCTTGACATATTTAGACTCAGACGTTGCTGGGTTTTCGATTCACTGGAGGCAGAATTCCTATAATGCAGCTCAGCATCCTTCCCAGCTCCATAAATTTGCGGGGAAGATGGGCAAGTGAGTGGGCTACCAGAATCAAACTGATCAGGGTTTAAGTGTCTGGGAGAAAACATATCACTTGGGCTTTTCACTTTGGCTGCTGGGGCTGGGCGTATGTTTGAAGTTCACAGAGGTCAGGGATTGATAGAAATTAAAAGCTGAACTCCCCATTCCAAACCAACTCCTAAAAATGGGAGGAATAAACTTCTCACATGATTCCGACAGGGAATTAATTTTGTAAAAGTAAATAAGACAGTTTTCCTCCAGGTGACTTTTTTGCAGCATATTTTAGAATAGCTTTAAGATTTGGAAGGATTGAGGCTATTTCTGGATTTCTGTACACTCAATGCCAGCAAAATAGTGCCATTAAGACAGACATATTAAATTATAGATGGGGATAAGTAAAATTCTTCTTAGAGTTTCATGGTCTTTTTTTTTTTTTTCTCTCTCTCTCAGCTCTGGATTGAGAGGCCACGATGTAATTGTCAACATAAATAGGAAACCTGTTACTACCACAACCGATGTTGTTGAAGCTCTTGACAGTGATTCCCTTTCCATGGTTGTTCTCCGGGGAAGAAGTAATTTGTTCCTGACAGTCACACCTGAAATAATCAATTAAATACCTTGCTTTAAAGTGGGATTATAAAAAAAAACAAAAAAACACAAAAAAACAAAAAAAACAGTTATATTACCTGGTTTGTATGAAGATGTACCAAACATGAGGTTTCTGGATCTTTTTCTTATAAAGAAAAATGGATGGTATCAACCCAAAGGCCCATCAATGACAGACTGGATAAAGAAAATGTGGTACATATACACCATGGAATATTACACAACCATGAAAAGGAATAGTACTCTGTAGGAACATGGATGGAGCTGGAAGCCATTATCCTTAGCAAACTAACACAAGAACAGAAAACCAAATGCTGCATGTTCTCACTTATAAGTGGTAGCCGAACAATGAGAACACATAAACATAGGGAGGAGAACAACACATACGGGGTCCTGGCAGGGGGTAGGGTGGAGGGAAAGGGAGAGCATTAGGAAAAATAGCTAATGCATGTTGGGCTTAACATGCAGGTGATGGGCTGATAGGTACAGCAAACCGCCATGGCACACATTCACTTATGTAACAGACCTGCATATCCTGCACATGCACTGCAGAAATAAAGAAAAATGGTAATCTTTTATGAAATTACAATTAAAAAAGGAAAATGGAGTTTTAAACACATACATACATTCAGGGATCATTAGGTTGGGGTATTAATACTGTTCCCAAGATGCCTGACTATGCCAAGTGAGAGAAGAACATGGTGCCAGGAAGTCTGGGGGAAATGGTAACATTTTATTAAAGATAAGAAACAACTAAAAAACAGGCAGTTTCTAATTTAACCTTGAAAGAAGGACACTGCAGTATTTTTTTTTTTGTTTTTTTTTTTTTTTAGACGGAGTCTTGCTCTGTCACCAGGCTGGAGTGCAGTGGCGCAATCTCGGCTCACTGCAACCTCCGCCTCTTGGGTTCAAGCGATTCTTCCGCCTCAGCCTCCCGAATAGCTGGGACTACAGGTGCGTGCCACCACACCCGGCTAATTTTTGTATTTTTAGTAGAGACGGGGTTTCATCATGGCGACAATGGCCTCGATCTCTTGACCTCGTGATCCGCCCGCTTCGGCCTCCCAAAGTGCTGGGATTACAGGTGTGAGCCACTGCGCCCGGCCAACACTGCAGTATTTTAAACCTTCTATATAGCCATAAACTAGATATAATACAAACATATACAAATAGATCTACCAAAATTTAAGAAACAACCTGAATAAAGTGCAAAGGCAATCAATTTTTAAGTGATACTCCTTTAGTGCATCAGGTTTTCAGGTTGTATCACATTTGGCCAGGTTTGTGGGTAGATGGAGAATGGGTGTTACTAAGAAGTCAGATGGAAGCTTTGGATTGTCACACAGGAATACTGATGATTCTGAAATTAAATTACCACTCTAACAGTAAGAACAACTTTTGTTTCCAGCAGCTTTCCTGACTGTGACAAGGGCATCTTCAGTAGTTTCCAGTCTTTTAGCCTTTTAACCAAGCTCTTCCCCCGGCAACATAAATTACTTCAAGTCTTGGAGCTGCCAAAGTTTTTTCTTTCTTGGGACAAAGTCTTGCTCTTGTCATCCAGGCTGGAGTGCAGGGGCAGCATCTCGGCTCACTGCAACTTCTGCCTCCCGGGTTCAAGTGGTTCTCCTACCTCAGCATCCTGAGTAGCTGGGATTACAGGTGCTTGCCACCACACCCAGCTAATTTTATGTTTTAACTAGAGAAGTAGTCTTACCATGTTGGCCAGGCTGATCTCAAACTCCTGACCTTAAAGGATCCACCTGCCTCAGTCTCCCAATGTACAGGGATTACAGGCTTGAGCCACTGTGCTGGGAACAAAGTTTCTTATTTTTTAAAGAAAAACTTCCGATGGGGTTATGAATATTGTTAGGTTAGAAAAAAGTGTGAAATGAGGCAGAACTTGATAAGGTTTAAAGTAGCATCTTATTTTGGGTAATACTATAATTTGTTTATATTTTTCAGACTTCCCTTATAAGTTTTTTTTTTTTTTTTAAATATATGGCATCCTTGAACTGAGACTCTTTTATTTGTATAAATTTATGGGGTACAAGTATGATTTTGTTTCATGCATAAATTGTATAGATGAACCCCCTTAAGTTCTATGTAAATTCTGTTTATGTGCATTTTTCTGGGGAGAGGGTCTAGTTTCTTCATGACCCATAAAATTTTAATAAACACTGACTTAGGGTATAGAGATTATGAATTAAAAGTTTATCAATTGTTACGTTATAAGCAAGGTTAAGGTCAGTGTGGTACAGAACTTTCAAGACAAAATAGGCTCATCTGTTTTAATTTTTTATACAAAATTGCCATATTTAGTAACGTAAGAACAGTGATTGATTATATTCATCAGGAATGATAAAGCAAGAAATTCTTAGGAAAGCTACAAAATGATAGAATGTATCCAGGGAAGTTAACTGTGATATCTGGTCTTAAAGTCAATTATTATGAAGTAAACTTCGAGTGAGGTCTACTTTATTTCTACAATTTGTAAGTTATTCTGAGTAACAGGCTCTTTCACTCACTTGGCCACATTGCCCATCTTTGATTTTTTATTTTTTAAAAATAAAGATGGGGTTTCACCATGTTGGTCAGGCTGGTCTTGAACTCCCTACTTCAGGTGACCCGCCTGCCTTGGCCTCCAAAGTGCTTGGATTACAGGTGTGAGCCAACACGCCCGGCCTCTGCCTTTGATTTTATATTTAATAGTTCTTTTCAACTTGGACTGCGAAGGATGGGAACTGAGTTTTTAAAACCACTTACAGTTTGGAACATCTCCTTTAATTCTTGGTTATTTGGGAATAAAAAAGTGTGGCTGTATCTCTTTCTGACTGCTGCAGCCCACAGGGAGAGCTTTAGTATCGTGCTTCTTTTGAGAATGTGCTATTTCTCTTTGCTCTCATAAATCACGTCCCAATTTAGCAGAAGTTTATTTTTCTTTTCGAAGCCACAAGGCTCCTTACTTTATCTCACCTAATCACGAAGAACAGTTTTATAGAAACTTGTAGGAAATCTTATTACCATGGGCTGGTAAATGCTGATTTTTGGATTGGACAATTCTGCCAGGAGGAGTAGCTCAATTCACATGTCTGATGCCGCTGGCTTTCAAAACATAATTGAAATGAAGAAATTATTGTGCTGCATATACTGCCTCTGGAACATAATGGAGACACAAGAGAGCTTAATAGGGTGGTTCATTTCAAATGACTGCAAAACAAATACAATTTTGAGTTTACTCCTCATACTGAAAATACTCATACAGTCAGTACTCCAGGTTGGCAAAATTTATACTGCATTTAGATTCAGAAAGTCAGACTTTCAGTGTGTATTACATTCCATGGCCATTTCCACTTCTGCTGAAGATTTTCATTGTTCAGCTTCAAATCTCCTTGTAGATAGACCCAGGGTCACAAAAGGAATATGGATACAAGTATTCACTTGGCTCAACTTGTTAAATCCACTTGCTCTGACGGACTGAACATATAGCAGTGTACAGAAAGGAAGACTCTGGAAACTCATCCACAGCTTGTAAACTCGTCACTATCCTTTATGTTTTGTGCACGAGGAAAGGTACAATTTGATCCCCACAACACTTTTTGCTTGTCATTTCTAGTCTGTAAGGTAAAATCTGGGTTGAAATTCTGAAGTTCAAAGAAGCCTTCTTAACCAAAACCTCAAAAGAGGGAAAATAACATCAGGTCTGATATCAAAGAAGAGTTTGAGTCTGCAGAGATGAATTCAGAAGACAGAGCTTTCACCTGCCTCCCTGGGCCTTGACAGCAGCTCTTTTTAGTAAACAGTGCACCAGTTGCTGCCATCACTTGGCATCAGCCCTCCAGTAATTAGCAAAATGAGGTCAACAAACCACCAAATCCCAAGTCCTCCAAGTGTCAACAGCTTCCCTACTGCAGTGCCAGTGTGTCCCAAGCAGAATCGATCCACGCCAAAACATCCCAGGAAGAAGGAATAGAGTAAAGTGGTTATGAAGTAATGTCCAGTATACCTAGGTGAAAGGAACAAAAAGGAAGATGTCTGATTGCACAAAAATTTAAACACTTAACGATTAGTGAATTTAACATAAGTGATGAGAAGGTGCAGTGGACCCTCTGTGGCCTTTTACCCTCCATTTTGTTTTCTTTTATGATATGGTCAGTGAGGTGAGAGGCTCAGGAAAAACCAAAGTTTATTATATTCATAGGTCCTAGAGACAGGAGGCACAGGGCTACCTGGCAAAGATACCTGGCGGGGGGGGGGTTGAAAGAAGCAAGGGGAAGGTTTTAGGTCACTATCTTCCTTGGGGTTTCTTAGGAAAGGCAAGACTGGGCAGGGCAAATAGTTTAGAATTGGCTAGTTTGAATAACTTCAGCAGGCTCTAAGGTATAGGAGTGATCCCTGGTTGCCTGGCACTTGGCCCTGAGAAGATTAAGGCAGAAGAATATTATTTACTGGGGTGTATAGGCCAGAAACAGAACATATGTATCTGAACTAGTTTGCATATCAAAGGCATGCTCCCTGTTGGGCCCTCTGCTATCTCCAAGAAATGACTAGCTTCAGTAAAGGCAGTCTCCTCATAGCCAGAAAGGTTTTTAAGATGTCAAATGTCACAACGTAAAATAATTTAAAAAACTTTTTGACCAAGTCGTGGTGGTTCATGTCTATAATCCCAGCACTTTGGGAGGCCAAGGAAGGAGGGGCATTTGAGCCCAGGAGTTCCAGGCCAACCTAGGCAACACAGCAAGACCCTGTCCCAAAAACAAAAACAAACAAACAAAAAACCAGTAATAATTAGCCAGCTGTGGTAGACTATGCCTGTAGTTCCAGCTAATCAGGAGGCTGAGGTGGGAGGATCACCTTTTGTGCCACTATACTCCAGCCTGGGCAACAGAAAAGGCCCCATCTCTAAATATATATATATATATATATATATTTATAATATATCCTCTTCACCCTTATTTTACTCTCCTTTAAGAATCTCTGGTTTGTAGAGGGTCTCAATAGAATACTTGCTAAGATATGGAGATCTCAAAGAACAAATACGGACTTACAGTTGGACTGGACAAGAAGTCATCAAGCACATTTACACAACTGGCACCATGGTAGGAGGAGGAGTCTGGGCTCCCATCCTGCTCTGTAGAGGGTCTTTTCAAGAGACTCAGCTGGCTTCCTGCATGTAGTTCTCTAAGGAAGCCCTGTCCTTAAATGAACACTGGATCTTCATATACTCTTCTCTGTTGTTTTGTGGCAGCGAAAAGCAAGGACTTCTTCATAAGGCTCTGCCTTTATACACTGTGCTGACATAGCTGCAGTTACTCTAATATTACTCATCACAGCCACAGACTCTTCAGTTAGCAAACTGTATAAGGCAATTCTGTGTCTTCAAGCAGAATTTACAGAAATGACGATCCTTTACCTTTAAGATAAACTGATTTTCAGAGTGTGGAGCCCACACTTTTTATAATAAAACCTTTATTCCTGAAATACTAAGGTAATTTGCACAAGATTTATCCCTATTGTTGGAATTTTGGGGCTAGATCATATGGCCCAAATTTTGTAGATGAGGGATAAACTGAGTGCTCAAAGGCACTTAGAGAAAGAGACAGTTAGCACTTACCTTCTGGGCTCAAGGCCAGAGTCCTCTCTACCATAAACATACTGTTTCTGTCAATGAATTATGCACAGTGGTAGTCACAGTCCCTCTTTGGTGCTTAAAAATAGTCATACCAAAAAATAACAACGAGCTAAGCTAAGCACAGTGGCATGTGCCTGTTGTCTCAGATACGCGGGAGGCTGAGGCAGGAGGACTGCTTCAGCCCAGGAGGGCCAGGCTGCAGTAAGCCGTGACTGCACCACTGCACCCCAGCCTGGGCAACAGAGTAAGATCCTGTCTCTTAAAAAACAGAGACAAAAAAAAAAAAAACCATAGCTTTTGTTTTTATAAATAGGGTTCTGAAGATGGCTTGAAAGAAAAAAATGAAATAATTGCCCGACTAGAAGAAAAAAAAAAAAAAAAAAAAGACAAGGAAAATGGCTCCACCTCCAACCAAGTACCAACTACACCATTTAAAGTCATGCTTACTTTATACAAGGTTTATTTTCTCGTAGGAAGGTCCTAGGACTGGCACACTCAATTCCATCTAGGGCGCGGCACTGGACTGAAGTGTGTTCCACATCGCTGTAGGCCTGACCGCCGAACTGTGGAGTAACAACCAAGACCATAATCAACTCAGCAGAGCAACTGACACAAACATGTATCTTTTTCTTTTTTTTAAAAATGAGACAGAGTCTCCGTCTGTTGCCCAGGCTGGAGTGCCGTGGTGAGATCTCGGCTCACTGCAACCTCCGTCTCCCCAGTTCAAGCGATTCTCCTGCCTCAGCCTCTCAAGTAGCTGGGACTATAGGCACACACCATCTCGCCCAGCTAATTTTTGTATTTTTAGTAGAGATGGGGTTTCACCATGTTGGCCAGGATGGTCTCGATCTCCTGACTTCGTGGTCTGCCTGCCTCAGCCTCCCAAAGTGCTGGGATTACAGGCATGAGCCACCGTGCCCGGCCACAAACATATATCTTTATATTCACTTATAAAAGCTGCCTCAGGACTACAATTATTCCAACAAGGTTGATGTATAGCTGTGTTCAAGGGCAAGGAACTTAGTGACATACTTCATGTGATTTTAGATGAGTCCATATTAAATGTACATTGTTTTAAATAAACTCCTGCTTTTCTCTTCATGACTGGCTTTTTCAATAATACAGTTAAAAAAAAAAAAACCCAGGGCTGGACGTGGTGGCTCACGCCTGTAATCCCAGCACTTTGGGAGGCCGAGGCGGGTGGATCATGAGGTCAAGAGATCAAGACCATCCTGGTCAACATGGTGAAACCCCGTCTCTATTAAAAATACAAAAAATTAGCTGGGCATGGTGGCGCGTGCCTGTAATCCCAGCTACTCAGGAGGCTGAGGCAGGAGAATTGCCTGAACCCAGGAGGC